ATGTCAACCCTCACTCTAAACTTTCCCTACTTCAGAGCCTCAAATGCAGACTTCATTGGATTTTATAGTGGTTTTCTGATTTTTGGTAGTCCATCCAAGAAGGGAGTTTGAAAGCTGTCGTATATTAAAGATTGTGTGCCCATGTCCTGCCTGAAATACCATGATTGTTTATGAAAAGTATCTTTAATAAAGCTGGATACAGTTTGGCTTGGAAAAAAAAAATGTACAATAGACACTGTAAAATGGGAAGAAACTTGAAAAGGAAAGAGAAACTGGGATGGAGAAATGAAGAAAAAAAGGAAGGGAAAAAAGAAAAAAATATATATATATTACACATATTAGTTAAGATAGTTATACTACTAATTTCTCTTAGTTCATTGAAATGTTTGTGCTAATGTTTGAACAATTAAATGCTGATATCTTATACTCTGAGTAACTAACTTAAGCATAATAGTACCCAATGTATTAATCATTGCTAGCCTATTATCTTTTGAAATTTTTCTTTTTCTCTTAAAAAAAGGCACAGCACAGGACCAGGGAGATGGCTCAGTAGAGTAAGTACAAGGGCCTGAGTTCAATCCCCGGTTCCACCAAAAAAATTAAGCAAGCAAGCAAGCAAGCAAGCACAGCGGTGCACAGTTTTCCTAACATGCTCAAGGCTCTGGGTTCAATCCAAGCACCACAGGAAAAAAAAAGAAATAGGATCAGAGTTATAGCCCAGTGGCACAGCACCTGCCTGGCAAGTGCCAGGTCCTGAGTTCAATTCCAGATACCAAAAAAATAAAAGAAATTCAATTAAGTTCCTTAAACTTGTTCAGGCATGGTAGTGTATGACTGCAGTCTAAACCTTTGGGAGGCTGAGGCAAGGAGGGTCACTTTAGCCAGGAGCTGGAGATCAAACTGGGTAACATAGAGAGCCTTGGCTCCTTCCCAACCCCACCAAGTAGGGCTGGGGAGATGGCTCAGTGGAATAAGCACTTCCCTGGCAAGCTCAAGGGCCTGAGTTCAATCCCTGGTTCTGCCACAAAAAACAAAAAAACCTTCAGGCTAACTCCACCAAGTAAGTCAGAAATCTGAATCGAGTCCTAGTTCCAGTTCCATCCCTCAGCAAAGGTGTGACCTTCAGCAGCAGATTACTTAAGCTCCCTCTGGGCTTCAGATCCCTTATTGTCTATGACATGAGGCACCCTGACTACATCAGTCCTAAGGTGCTCTACAAGTGCTATGATTCTAAAATTGAAAAGATAAAAGAAAAATAGGTAAATTAGGAAACAACAGTAGTTATCATGAATGGGGCCTTGACTTTACCACCAACCAACCTGCTCTCTTTAGGCAACTCCTGACTTTTTAGGTGAAAAGAAGAGAGATCTTCTATTTTACCAGCAGAATCCTTAGACCAAAATCACTTCCTCTCTTAGAAACTCAGAACCTCCAAAGTTTTATTTAATTCTAGAATGCTATGATGCATGCTATAGTTATCACAGATGATTTGAAAATTAGGCTTCTTTAAAAAAAATTAGGCTTCTTTAGTACATTTTACTTGATTAAATAGTTCTTTCTTTTTCTTTTCTTTTCTTTTCTTTCTTTCTTTTTTTTTTTTTTGGCAGATTTGGGGATTGAACTCAGGCCCCTACACTTGCCAGGCAAGCGCTTATTCCACTGAGCCATCTCCCCAGCCCCTAAAATTTCTATCTTTCTTTTTTTTTTGAGCATACAATTCTTTAAGAACTCATCCAGGGGGCTGGAGAGATGGCTCAGTGGTCTAAAGCACCTACTTGGAACAAGCTTGGCAAAGCACAGGGACCACAGTTCAATCCCC